ACTGTTCAAAGTCCTTCCCCCTTGACTGCATTGAATTCTAGACTGTACTATGAGGGGGCGCGAAGATGCATTCATAGCGCAAATACACAGCAAATCAACCTGCAAATCTCACAGCATTGCATCATATTCTCATTAAAGCTGGGATTTTTTGAAGTCACTATATTGTTGGCATCATCCCCCAAAGTTAACAAGGTTTCGAGGTTATGATCTCCGGAGAATTGACATCGAGACTACCACAGTGTAATTCGCAAAGTGCTATGGAGATTGTATGTTTTCACTTCTTCCTCATCCATAAATCACCTAACACAAAGCACATCTTCCTACGCCCGGCCAACATTATGCCACACATCACCAACTACTACGTAGTATATAAAATATGTTACCAACTGAACGCAGCCCCAATCCAAGCTATATTTTGTACATAACGTTACATATAATAGCGATGTAAGCCATGTACTTGATTTGGGGGGCGGACAGGGGGCTTTATTGCGACGTATTAATTTTGGTGCTTTGAAATACATTATTGACAGAATACTTGAGTTTATATGAATAGTAGTTGCGCAGCCCTAACTTGATACTATCACTAAGCCCTTCGTCGACGACTCGAATCCGATTGTTCCCGTAATAAAAAATATTCTACGTAACGATACTACCGGTACCCATACAACCAAGTGAAGTCTACGCGTAGCTCACTGAAAGGTGGGGGAAATAGGTAGTTACTTGTATATAGATTGATGCTTCGACAAAATTCGACGAATAAGGAACATTTGTAGTTGTCGAAATATATTTTTGTGTTCGTGTATGTCACTGCCACAAACAGTAACTGTAAGTCTAGCGAATTAAAAGCACTTCAAATAAAACAAGAGCATCCATCCGACAACGCTATGAAGCTGGAGACACAAACAACGTTAACTCACATTGCTCATTGAGATTGTCAAATCGATTCGAAATTGGAGCCACCAGCAGTACTTACTCGAATTACTACCTGGTACCTGCAATGGTACAGCTTACGTTCAATACAAGTACTATTAACAATACTACTACTACAGTAAGGGGAATAGGATAAAAACTTGTGGCCATTTGACTTTTTACTGGTGGTCACCGAAAATGTCATGTGTTGGTGTTTTGCTCGTGGTTAAACTGTGGAACTTAACGAGAATTGCTTGGGCATGTCTAGGCTCATGCGTATCGACGATTCGAAGTGTATGGTATGGCCAGCACTACAGCTCACAAAGTAAAACTATAACACGATTACCTTTGCAAAGATATAGGGCCCACGGCTTGTTTGCTTGTTTTACGTTAGCTGGAGTGATATTACACTTACTGGGCTGCTTGACTATGAAGCAACAACCCAGTAATGCCCACTGAGTAAAACTCCACCACACCATTTAACCACGAGTGAAGCCCCATATCTACCTCTACCTGAACATCCATGAGCAAAACCCCAAAACACCACTAGTGAAAAACTGCCTCCCCTACAGTACGTAGCATTCACCATTGGTACGATTAACGGTGAACAACGTTGTGTGCCTTTGTGTTTCACGTTAACGATAGGATGTACTTATCGTAGCAAGCAATTAGTCCCACCCACTTACTCAGGGACGTTTTAGGTCAATAGTACCAAATTCCCTGAGTGAGTGGGCATTTGACCATTGAGTGGGTGTGTCACCCACTCACTCGGGGAATTGGTCCAAACTCGACGTTATAGTAGTTCTCCTCTTGCAGCAGCTGCATGGCCCACTCAACCCAACATCAGGCAAACCCTCCAAAGGTCATACCCATCGTGCGGTGTGATACGACGAACAGAATTAACGTTAGTACTACGTAGTACTGTAGTGTACTGGACGTGACAGAATTAACATATGAATAGGTGTGCCGTAATTACATCTGGGGCGTAAAGGTTTGCAAGTAAGCTTACTATTAATATTAATACTATGTAGTGGTAGGTATGGTTCGTGGCGGGACTGTGGAGGTGGTGCAACTTGACTTGCTCACCATGTATCCGTCACTTTCGTCGTCCTCAACCAAGTTGTAAACTACCAAGGTCCCAGATACTCTCCTACTCAAACTAAGTATAACTTCAATTTATTCTCTTTTCTTGTTGCGTATATCTGTGACGTTGGGGTTTCGATTCCCATTAACCAGGTGAAACAGAGAATTTAGTAAGTTCGCTAGGTGACCCACCTTGCTACGCATACCGTGTCCAGGTATGAACTTCGTATACTGTACTGTACGTATAGTACCTACTAGTCACTTTGGTGTGGCTATACATAAACACCACAGGGAACAAGTCCTCGGACGGGGTGTTCTCGAGATTATTCATTCACGGCAAATTCAACATGCCCCCGAGTCCGCTGAATCGTCACCACGACGCTCATATTCAATTTTGATAGGATGTTGAGGTGGTCGCTTTTTCACGTAATGGTCCCAGTAGCCTGCCTGGTCGTACATGTATCAATAGCATTTCGACGAGTGTCGGAAGTGATGTCGATTTCGCTCGGGCCAAGATCAATCAATTCGACACCGACCAATTGAAACGTCAACGCAAATTCTAAATGTCCCCTTCACTGGCTTCGTGGCAACACCACATTGCCACATTGCCAATCTTGAACGACCCAACTCCATCGATCTCGAGTTGTTGGATAAATTGATGTCTGGACCGTGGGTTTCCCGTCAGTGGCTTCGTGGCAACACCATATTGCCACTTTGCCAAGCTTGAACGACACAACTCAATCGTTCTCGAGTTGTTGGATAAATTCATGTCTGGACTGTGGGCGTTCGGGTCCCATCGTACGCGTATCGCTTGCGCTTGGGCCCACTTGTCCATCTTCAAGTACTCCAGCATCGCCGCAAACTCATCCTGCTCGGGTTCGGTCAATCCATCCAACGGCATGATCTTTCCAGTGCGTAGAAAGAATAGCACACGTCGAAACAGAGTCGGGTCCAGGTCCAGAAAGTACCCCTCGCCTCCTTCCGGTTTCCACTGGCCAGACCGGAGCAACGAATGAATGTAAGTGCCTTCCCCACGCAAAATCGTGTCCTTGGACGTTTGGAACGTCGTGCCACCCACGTTCAGCGTGATAATGTCGGGCTGGTTGTGGAGATTTTGTGTCGAATTCGGTCTTCGAGCTCGGCCCACGCAGCCACTTTCGTCTCAAAGGCCTTGGCTTCAGCACTCACTTGGCTAAACGTATTGCGAATGGCTATGGTCACTTGGGTGGCAGATTCCAATGACCTTGTCATGATAGATGCGCAAATAATGCCAAGTGAGTAACA